CACGAGAGAAGGCCGAGGTCGAAGCCGAGGCGGCCCGCGTCGCCGCTGAAGCAGCGCGCGTTGACGAAGACTCGCCCGAGCGACGCCAGCTCGAGTCGCAAATCGTCGAAGCAGCGGGCGTCCTCAGCCGACTCCGCCTCGCCAAGGCCGAGGGCCAGCAACGGCTACGACAAGAGCAACAACGGCTCTCCGACATCGAAGACCACCTGCGTCGCCTCAGCGACGAGGCGGAGGCGCTCGTCGCTGAGACCAAGGAGCTGATCGCTGTCGAGGACGAGCACTACGACGACGCGAAGATCGCCGATCAAGAGCTGGAACGGCTCAACCAACTCGCCGGCGAGATCGAAGACGAAATCGAGCAACTCAAGCACGCCGCCGCAGGGCGCGAGCGGAAGTTCGCTGTCGTGCCGCTCCGCGATGGCCGCGCCGGCACGCTCCGCCCGCCAGTCTACTACGAGTGCACCAAGACGGGGATCGTCTTGCAGCCCGAGGGCGTGCATCTCACTTGGCAAGACCTTGTCGCCAGTGATTTCAGCAGCCCCGTCAACGCGGCCGCCCGGGCCGTATCACGGTACTACGAGGAGCACCCAGAGGCCCGCGCCGCCAACGAATCGGGTCGCCCCTACCCGCTGCTGATCGTCCGTCCCGATGGCGTCCTCTCTTACTACCAAGCCCGACTGGCGCTGGAGGGGGCCGACATCGACTACGGCTATCAACCGGTCGCCGACGATTGGGAGCTCGAGTACGGCGAGAGCAACCCCGTTCTCGCAGCCCAGGTTGAGGACGCCGTTCGAACGGCCCGTGCCGAACGCGAAGGTCTCGCCAAGGTGATCCCGCAAGTGGGGGCGGCCCTCGCCTCGGCTGAGTCGGAAGCCCGTATGGTGATCGCTCTTTCCCATGGACAATCATCCGACGCCGGAGCCGCCGATTTCGCCGGGAACACGGCTGCCGGTCGCGTCGCCACCAACCAAACGGGCATCCGCGTCCGGCCAGCAAACCCGCGTTCGAACAACCCGTTCGAAGGCCTGCGGATCGAGGGGTCGCTCCCCGGCGAGGTCGGCGGCTCGGGCTACAGCGGAGGCATGCCGGCCGCTTCGGCCTTGAGCGAAGCGCCTGTCCCAGGCGCCAAGCAGTCGCCGCTGATAACGGGCATGCCGCAAGCCACGGAAACGACGCCACCTTCGGCCCAGTCAGCTGCTGGCTCACAGAATATTGCGGTTAGCTCCACCGGGCCGGCGGGCGTCGCAGCGACGGCGGTTGAGCCATCTTCCGAAGAGGAAGCGGCGGTTGAAACGCCAGGGCAAGAGACGGGCACGGTTGCGACCGCGAAGGCCTCCGTTGGCGCACAGCCGCCACCCGAGGATAGCCGCAGCGTTCTCGTCACAACCGGTGTCGCCTCCGACCCGGCCTCGCCAAAGGAGCACGGCGAAGCCAGCGTCAATGCGGGATCGAGCAGGACTCAGGCGCCGAAAAACGCCACGGCCGGCGGTGGGGCTCAGCGACAGACGACGACGCGTGACGGCCTGCCGATGATCCGCCCGATCCGGCTTTATGTGTCGCATGACCGCGCTGTTGTGCTGTCCGATACGGTTCGAACCGTTAGCGACATGGAACGGGCGTCGGCGGGTACGCAAGCGATTCAGTTCGACGGCGCCACCACAGGTCAAATCAACGACTTGATTGCCGTGCTCAAGCAGCACGCCGACACCTGGGGTATGGCGGGCGACGGCATGTATTGGGAGCCCCGATTGGTCCTCAATGTGGCGGGCAACGGGGCCGATCGCGCAGAAGACGTGCGACGCTTGCTCGAAGCCGCGGGAGTGAAGGTCCAGGCTTACCCCGTCACGACAGCGGCTAATCCCGGCGGAGGTTCCGATGCGTCGCGCCGTTGAGAACGAAGAAGACGATATCCCCGGAGGCGATTCCTTCCTGGACATCGTCGCCAACATCGTCGGCATCCTTGTGCTGTTGGTGGTGGTTGTTGGCGTCCGCGCCGGCCGCGTCATCTTTACGCCCGAGGCTGTCGTCGCTGAGCAGGCCGAATCCACCGTAGCGCTCCAGACGAAGCTCGGCGAAATTGTCCGCCAAGCCCACGCCGAGCAGAGTGAGATCAGCGAGCTCGTGGGCAAAGTCGCCACGACCCTCGATGAAGTCGATCGACGCAACGCGATGCGGGAATCGGCCGTGCTCTACAACACCAAGCTTCGAGCGGAGCTTGATGAAGCCCGCACGTCCCTCAACGAAGGCGACCAGCGCAGCCTCGAGACACACAACGCGATCGCGCAGGCCCAACTCCGACTCGACCGGCTAACGCGCGAACAAGTCGCTCTCTCCTCGGTCGAACCGGAGCCCGACGCCGAGATTGTCGAGGTCGCCCCGACACCAATCGTCAACGGCAAGGCGGAAGAACTGATCTCGTTCCGCCTCCAAAAGGGACGGCTCGTCTATGTGCCTCTCAATGAGCTCGCGGAGGACCTCTCCAAAGGGATTCACATCCCCACCCTGATCGATCCCGCCAAGCCGGTCGTCACCCGAGAAACCATCGGGCCGATCGAAGGTTTTGTCGGCGAGGCCGAGATCGGCTGGTCGATCCGCTCCGTTGGCGGTCGGGTGGGCCCTCTCCCGGTGGTCAATATGCTCCGTTTACGTGAGGTGACGCCACTGCGGGGCGAGGACCCCGAACAAGCCTTCTCAGCAGGAGGCTACGTCAGCTCGCGCATCGAGTTGTTAGACCCGAAGTTCGTTGTCATTCAGCTCTACATCTATGCCGACAGCTTTGATTCGTCCGCAGCCATCGTCAACCGGTTCCGCGAGCGCGGATTTCGCGTCGCTCAATTCCTCAAGACCGATGGCTCACCGATCGGCGTGACCTCGAGCCGCGCCCGGGGGGGGTTCTCCTCGGTGACGCAGTGACACCCGTCACTCAGCGGCCGGCCGGCCCGCGGTCGGTTCGGACCCGCCGCCCCTGGCGTGTGTCGGTTCGAACATCGCCCGCAAGAACAGCACGCCAGCCCCGACTACAAGAAACGCGTCAGCAAGGTTGAAATTGGGCCAACGCCACTCGTCGTTGAGCTGCCAGAGGATCCAGTCGCGCACCGCATAGACCGTCTCACCGGCGCGGGGGTCGAAGGCGGGCCAGACCTCGCCCGACAATCCAAGCCGGTCGTAGAGGTTACCCAACACGCCCGCCATCACGGCGCCGAGCGATGCGGTCAGCCACCAGTCGTTGGCGGCCCGGAAGACGAACAGCCAGACCGGGATCGCGATCGCCGCGAGCACGCTGATTGCCGCAAAGACGGGCACGTGGCCGAATCCCAGGCCGAATAGCGCGCCCTCATTGAGACTCGTCTGGAAGCCGACGTACCCCTCCCATAGCCAATAGACCTGGCCCGTGAGCTTGCCCGGCCACGAGAAGACAGCCGCCTTGGTGACGAGGTCCGCCGCTAGCCCGACCGACGCGATCAGCGCAAAGGCGACGTAACGGTTCGGCGCCACCGGCGGCAGTGTCACGGGTTGGGTGTCCAATCCCTCGGACATCGTCGTCACTCCGTAAGAGTCGGTCAGCCGCCCTCTTGCTGCTCGGCGCAGCG